TGATCTCAATCTCCTGATCCACCCACCTTGGCCTCCCAAAGTGCTGGGATTACAGGCATGAACCACTGCGCCGGGCCTATGTTTGTTTGTGCAAATAGCAAACAAGGGTACCAGCTCCATGCAGACAGATGGCATCCCAGGGCTCACACCAATCCTTTCGTCCTTCTATTGGTGGACAGAGGCCTCTACTCCAGAGCCCTTGAAAATTGGAGCTGGAGCTAAACTGGAACTGGAGCTGAAGCTGAAGCCTGGGCTTTGGTTGGAGCCTTCGCCTTGGACATTGGCCGGCAAAGCCAGCCTTGGCCAGGTGGGTTGAACCCATGCTTCCTCAGTTTTCGGTGGGCGATTACAGGCAAGTTGATTGAATTTTCAGCTGATGTCCTCCGGGATCTTGCGCCTGACCACATAGGGGTAAACTTCCCTATTACCCTCTGAAGGTTCACTGAAAATCAACCGACAAGGCAGATTAAAAGGGAGAAAAGGCAAACACATTTATTTGATCATAGTTTTCCATGCCATGGGAGCCTTCAGAATGAAGACCCAAAGATACAGGGGAAATGTCCATTCTTATGCTTACATTCAACAAAGTACGGACAGCTATGTATGTATTTGGACAAAATTTATTGTTACCAGAAAGGGGTCCTGATCTAGACTCCAGGAAAGGGTTCTTGAACTTCACGCAGGAAAACATTCAGGGCAAGTCCATAAAGTGAAAGCAAGTTTATTAGAGAAGTGAAGGCATAAATGGCTACTTCATAGGCAGAGCATCGGCACAGGCTGCTCAACTGATTACACTTACAGTTATTTCTTGATTATATGCTAAACAAGGGGTTGATTACTCATGAATTTTCTGGGAAAGGAGTGAGCAATTCCCAGAACTGAGGGTTCCTCCTCCTTCAGACCACATAGGGTAACTTCCTAAGGTTTGCAAGCTGTCACGGTGCTGGTGGGAGCGTCTTTCAGCATGCTAATGAATTATAATTAGTGAATAATGAGCAGTGAGCATGACCAGAGGTCACTTTAGTCACCATCTTGGTTTTGGTGGGTTTTGGCTGGCTCCTTTACTGCATCTTGTTTTATCAGCAAGGTCTTTGTGACCTGTAAGCTGTACTGACCCCTATCTCATCCTATAAGAATGACCTGGCCAGCACTTTGGGAGGCCAAGGCGGGTGGATCACGAGGTCAGGAGATCGAGACCTTCCTGGTCAACACGGTGAAACCCCGTCTCTACTAAAAATACAAAAAAATTAGCTGGGCATGGTGGCTCGTGCCTGTAATCCCAGCTACTCAGGAGGCTGAGGCAGGAGAATTGCCTGAACCCAGGAGGCGGAGGTTGCGGTGAGCCGAGATCGCGCCATTGCACTCCAGCCTGGGTAATGAGAGCGAAACTCCGTCTCAAAAAAAAAAAAAAAAAAAAAAGAATGACCTGGCAAGGTGCGGTGGCTCACATCTGTAATCCCAGCACTTTGGGAAGCTGAGACGGGTGGATCACGAGGTCAGGAGATTGAGACCATCCTAGCTAACATGGTGAAACCCTGTCTCTACTAAAAATACAAAAAATTAGCCTGGCATGGGGGCACATGCCTGTAGTACAAGTTACTCGGGAGGCTGAGGCAGAAGAATTGCTTGAACCTAGGAGGCGGAGGTTGCAGTGAATCGAGATCATGCCACTGGACTCCAGCCTGGGCAACAAAGTGAGGCTCTGTCTCAAAAAAAAAAAAAAGACTCTGTTTCTCCAGGAGACAAGACATGCACATTCTCAGAGTCCTCTCACATTGGCATGGAAATGGCAATGTAGGGGAGGGAAAAATGGCTTCCCTCTACCCTTCTAGGTTCTTTGCTTGGGCTGCAAATTAAATTGACATAAGACAGATTAACAGAAGAAAAAACATTTTTTTTTTTTTTTTTGAGACGGAGTTTCGCTCTTGTTACCCAGGCTGGAGTGCAATGGCGTGATCTCGGCTCACCGCAACCTCCGCCTCCTGGGTTCAGGCAATTCTCCTGCCTCAGCCTCCTGAGTAGCTGGGATTACAGGCACGTGCCACCACGCCCAGCTAATTTTTTGTATTTTTAGTAGAGACGGGGTTTCACCATGTTGACCAGAATGGTCTCGATCTCTTGACCTCGTGATCCACTCGCCTCGGCCTCCTAAAGTGCTGGGATTACAGACGTGAGCCACCGCGCCCGGCCAGAAAAACCATTTTAATTAACTGCATGGGCAGCAGCACAGGAGTCTCACAAAACACAAAGGGCCACATGATTGAAGCTTATAGCATTCTGAGCTAGAAAGAAATAGGGGCTTGGGGCTTCTCTGGGGACAGTGCAGAGGCACCACAGGTGTCAGGAGGGTTAGAGAAGGAAGTGTTTAGGAAATTGTTGTAATCCAGCGAGTTGCAGAGAAAGCGCCACACTCTGAGATTGAATCAGGAGTCCTTTATTGCCAGAGACCGACAGATGGCTAACACTCAAAATTCTCTCAGCCTTGAAGAATGGGCTTGATTCCTTTTTATACCTTGCTTAAAGGAGGGGAGGCGGACCCTAGCTGAAGCAAATTTTACAGAAGCAGAACAAGCAAAAGTTAAAAGATAAGCAGTTGCAGATGTAGGGGCTTTTCATATTATCGGTAGGTGCATTCCTAGGCGGGGATGGCACAGCTTGAGTCGGTGCCTTATCAATTAAGTGCATTCCTGAGTGCCCTTGAGTGCAGCTAGACCTAGCTATGCACTCAGGGGAGGGAGATAGTGGGAAGGGGGAGGCTAAGATGGAGCCTCTCTGGCTTTCAGCTAAAATGGAGTCAGTCAGGCTAACACAGGGTAGGTTAGCACAAAATAAGGTTGCCTTGCTATGCAGATAAAGTCTCTCAGGTAATAAAAGTTGTCTCTGAGCAGCTGCCTTCCTGACACAGATACTCTTACTATGTGGACTTCCTTTATAGATGTAAATTGGCTTTACAAAAGGACAGCTTTTCAGAACTAGTCCTGTGTCTGCAGTTTCTCAGAATAACCCGCTTGAAATATGCCAAGGAAGTATATTTTGGGATAGCATATTTTGGTATTCTACAGTCATAATTTGGGGTGCTGTGGCCTGAGCCTCAGCAGCAAATAGAGCACAGGATTCAGGGTTCAGAGCCCTGGATTCTATTACCAGCTCTACCCCCTAACCCAGTGGTCCCTTGGGAAGGGTCCTCGCCAGTTACCAATCGAATCAATTTCCCTAAACAGCAAAGAGGTATAGGAGTTCCAGCTGGCTTAAACATTTGTAGATTTCGTACCTTCCCTTTTGCCCCCCTCCTTCCTCTCCAACCTTCTCCCCACCCGGAGCTACCAGGGGTCCAGCCCATTTCCCAAGGCAAGCAGTAGGGCTAGGGCTGAAGTGAAGTGACCGCAGCGATAGCAAACAGAGCAGCTCACTGGAAAGTCCTGGTGAGAGCCTCAGCTTCTGATGAGTCACAGAACGCCACGGAGCAGGTTGCTGCGCTTGACTGATTGGGTTTACCTTATTTCTGTTTTGAGTTAAAGCCAACTCTCCTCATTCCTTTTCGTGGCTCTGAATAGGGCCTGTTCCATTATATCTCTTCATTTAAACGCCTGCATCGGAGATGCTAGAAAATCCTGCGCAGCTCATACCCCAAGGACTGGTTTTCGTTCACCTTTCCTCTCCTACTCCTAAGCTGCCCAAGACACTCCTTCGCCAAAGCTGTCTGGAAACGAGTCCAGCTAAGGTCAAGCCTTGCGTCGTGTACCAGGGGATCAGACGAGTGGATTCCAGTCCCAGTTTTGCTTTTTCAACTTTGCTGTGAGGCTTTTGGCAAGTTATTTAACCTGTCTGGGCTTCAGTTGCCTCACTGCTAAAATGGATACCATAATGTTTATTTGAAAGAGCAAAGGGATTGGTGCAAAAATCGCATTAACAGAAATATCTTCATTCCGGCCGGGCGTGGTGGCTCACGCCTGTAATCCGAGCACTTTGGGAGGCCAAGGAGAGCGGATCATTTGAGGTCGGGAGTTCGAGACCAGCCTGGCCAACATGGTGAAACCCCGTTTCTACTAAAAATACAAAAAATTAGCCGGGCATGGTGGCGGGCGCCTGTAATCCCAGCTACTCGGGAGGCTGAGGCAGGGGAATTGCTTGATCGTAAGGTGGAGGTTGCAGTGAGCCAAGATTGTGCCACTGCACTCCAGCCTGGGCGACAGAGTGAAACTCCCGTCTCAGAGAAACAAAACAAAACAAAACAAAAACCTCAAAATCCTTCATTCGTCTTGGGGAGAGGGCTGTGAGGACAGCAGATCTGAATGAGAGAAAAACTAGAGACGCCCCCACTGCCTTTTGCGCGGAACAAGCAATTATTGGGCACCTTCTTTTTAGTGAGGAAGCAGGGATGGAAAATGCGTCCTTGGGCCAGCGCGGGAGGAGAGGCTGGAAAACATATCGTTATTCAGGGAAGGACAGAAAGGGCTCTCAACGGATCTGTCACAAAGTGCCGTCAGGGCAGAATCAAGAGCAGAACAGCCAAGGGCCCAGGGATTCGAGGAAGCCTGGGCGGGGCGGAGCGGAGAGCCCGAAAGTTGAAGGTTTACTTGGCAGATGAGGGAGGGAAAGGGATTTCAGAAACAAGGATCCCGTGGGTGGGCTGTCCCGGTTGGCGCGCGGCAGAGCGCAGACCAGCACCCGGCGGTCTGGTCGGTGCAGGACAGACAGGAAGCGCTAAGACTCCAAGCTTTTGGAGCCAGCTCTTTCTCCGGTTCCGAAGGCCACCGGGCGCTGCGCGCGGGCCCGAGCGCGGCCAGACCGCGCATCAGACCCGGAGCGTAGGGCCCGAGGGCTGGCGGGCGGCTCCGGAGCTCGGCGCCCCAACCGGGAAGTGAACGCGGCAGCCCACCCGCCTGACGCCAGCGGAAGTGCGAGCCCGAGGCGAGCCTGCTCCGCCGCCGGGCGCCCGGGAGGGGGCGGGCGCGGGGCGGGGCTGGGGGCGGGCGAGGCGGGGCCGGCGGCGGGGCGGGGCTTGGCGGCGGTTGTTTTTACCCAGGCCTCGGCGCCTAGGCGCTCGGCCGAGGCTGCTCGGCGTGGAAGCGCGAGGCGCGAGGCAGCCAGGAGGGTCCGTGCGGCGCGGGGAACCGGCGAGCGCGCTCTCGGTGTTGGCCGCCGCGATGTCCGCTCAGTGCTGTGCGGGCCAGGTGAGCAAGGCCGGGCGCCGCGCGGGGATGGTCGCATCGTAGAACCGGGCCGGGAGTCCAGGCGTCGAGGACCTGCCTTGGGTGCGTTCCCAGCTCCGCGGCCGAACGTAGGGCCCGGGTGGGTCGCTCCGGCTGTCCGCGGCGCTCAGAGGTCCGGGAAATTCTGCGCCCTGGGCGGGCGGGAAGGGGCAGGGGGAAGCCCGAGAGGCTATCCCAGGGTCTTCCCGCCCGGTCTCCGGGACTCCGCGTGGGGCGGGGCGTGCAGGGCTCGGGCGGAGGATCTCGACAGCTCCAGGGGCGTGTCGCCTCCTGCGTTGGGCACTGGTGGGCAGCGCCGAGCTCCCTTGCCCTCTCGACTCTGCCTGTCGGATGAACCCAGGAAAAAAAAGTCGGTTTGGGGAACGTCTCCTTTGCCATGCCCTGAATAAAACTCGGGTTAAACAGCCCAGACAGGTTGTGCTTGGCATCTGGAAGTCGAGCGTAGGCTCTTCTGTACCTTTGATAATGCCTCGAAGCCTGATTTCCAAACTGCCGGGCGCAGGTCTGAGCGAAGGGAAAACTCAGCCTTGCTTCCTGAGTTTCCCAACCGAACTCTGGCTCGGTACTAGCACGGCTACCTGGGTAGGGCGCGAGCCTTCCTGTCTCTTTGCAAATAAACTTTCTCAAACCTGTCTTTTAGCTCTCGCCTGTTTAAACGTATGATATCTGAAAATATTGTCCCCTACCAGTTACTGCATCAGTGTGGAATTAGTACGTCTTAGCCCTTTAATGCTGCATAATTAGAAACAACGAAATAGGTGGGTCTCCTGGATGTGGAGCTGCTTTTTCCCTGTACATGTGGATCATCAGCGTTTTGGTACAGAGTTTTAATGGAGTGTTTTCACGAACGAATCAGACTCCCGGGAGCATCCAGGTTCAGGGTGTTCTTGCTGACACTCAAGCCTTTCCACAATCGAGGCCAGCTGTAAGTGAGGCAGGGGTTAAGCTGTGGGTTTCTATAACCGACGATTATACTGGCAGATAATCTGTCCTGTTTGGAATGGCCACGTGGAGCTCTCTTGGTTTTTGAGCTCTAATACTGTACTTGGCATGCATTAAAGCTGGCCTTTCCAGAGTTGAGGAAATTGAGGTTTTTGACGACTGAGGTAAAATGATTTTTTTTACTCTGAGTCAGACAGAGAGAGAGAGAGAGAATGAGAATGGTCACCACCTTACCGGGGATTTGAGAACAAGGTGGACCAGCAAAGGCTGTTTTCAGAAAGCTCTGCAAATCTTTCATTCTCGTTTTGAAATACTTTCTCTTCAATATGATGCAACACTTTTTATTACGCAGTAATTCTATTATAGATCTTTAGGGGCATCTGTCCTGGTCCCTTGAAATCCCCTTGAGGCTCTGTCATTCCCAAGTACCTAATTTAGGGCTCTGTAAATTATTACCTGTATTCAATGGGTTTTGTAAAAGAATTATTTTGATATTGATGTTTTGGCAGGTTTCTAAAGTCTCCCCTCGCAGGACTTTGGAAAGAACTAAATCAAAGTTAACCCCTGCTTTCCCAGGCCTGCTAGAGGCATCACTGTGGTGGGCCTCATTGCAGTGTGATGGTGATCACATTGTGATTTCCTGTGGGTTGGGCGGTATGTAGTTAAAAGAAAGCAAACAGGCTGTGTGGTGGCTCATGCCTGTAATCCCAGCACTTTGGGAGGCCTAGGCGGCTGGATCACCTGAGGTTGGGAGTTCTAGACCAGTGTGACAAACATGGAAAAACCCATCTCTACTAAATATAGAAAATTAGTTGGGCGTTGTGGTGGATGCTTGTAATCCCACTTAGGAAGCTGAGGTAGGAGAATTGCTTGAACGCGGGAGGTGGAGGTTGCAGTGAGCCGAGATTGTACCATTGCACTCCAGCCTGGGTGACAGAGCTAGACTCCGTCTCAAAAAAAAAAAAAAAAAAAGCAAACAACCTCGCAGCACTATCAGAAGTTACCAATTCTTTTGTTTGTTTGTTTGTTTGGGCACCTACCTTGTGCCAGGAACTGGGTAGATAGTCATAAGTCAGACAAACATCTCTGCTCTCAATGGTCTGTCTCAGCAAGGGAGATCATTCATAAACATGTAAACAATGAAACAATGAATATGGTACTCCTACTGTCAGGGGCTGTGTGGTAAGCAGCCTTGAGGAGGGTTGTGAGGGAGTCTGAGAAGATGCCTGTGGAGTTGAGACTGCTCAGGGAGGAGAGATAAGGGGAGTCTAGGGTGGCTGGTGACCTAGATGAGGTCAGAGAGAAGGGCAGGACCAGACTTGGCCAGAGCCTGTCAGCTGCCTTTGGACTTTGGATTTAATTCTGGTCACAGTGAGAGGCTGTGGAAGGATCTTGAGCAGGGGTGAGCTGTGGTTTGATGCAAGTTAAAAGATTCTTGGGGTATTGTGAAGACTGGACTGTAACAGGGGCTAGAGTGGAGGTGGGGAAAGCAGTTCCAGTTGGTCATGCAGTGGATAGTTGCCTCTTAGGGGCAGGCAGTGTTCTTGGCTTCAGCAGTGAACATAAGTCCTTCCCCAGTGGAGCTCAAATCCATTTGGGATTTGAGCAGTTGCTGTAGTCCCAGGAGGAGGGCGGGTGGTAGCTTCATTTAGGCTGTGGCTGTAGGAGTGAGTACCGTGGGACATCATTGGCTTCCAGGTACATTTCAGGGGTAGAACTGGATTTGAGCAAGAATTACAGGTGGGATGTGGGAATGAGACAGACCGTGGTTTCTGGCCTGAGCCACTGGGGTAGATGATGATCGCGCTGACTGAGGTGAAGTATGAGGCTGATAAGAAGAAGACATTTGGTGAGCAAAACCCAAGTTTCTTGGTTTTGTTACATTAGAGGTGCATATTATAAATTAAATGGAAATGGCAAGTCACCATTTAAGTCGGGAGAAGTTGAGGTTGGAGATGGACATTTTGAGGACTTTTAACTGAGGACCATCGTGAACAATAACCCATAAACCCATAAAAGAGCCTGGGATTTGGACTCGAGCCTGGGATTTGGACTCAGGCCTGGGTTTCGGACTCAGGCCTGGGTTTCAGTTGGGAAATTTGGATAATGAGGGCTGGTGTGACCGGCTGAGTTACTCTATTACCTCATTGTACCTCAACTGTTGAATGGGTGCTTCTTAAGGTTACTGTGAAAATGACATGTGATGATAAGTGTAAAGTCTATAATATAGATGCTGGGCGCGGTGGCTCAAGCCTGTAATCCCAGCACTTTGGGAGGCCGAGGCGGGTGGATCACGAGGTCAAGAGATCGAGACCATCCTGGTCAACATGGTGAAACCCATCTCTGCTAAAAAATACAAAAAATTAGCTGGGCATGCTGGCGCCCAGCTACTCAGGAGGCTGTAATCCCAGCTACTCAGGAGGCTGAGGCAGGAGAATTGCCTGAATCCCGGAGGCGGAGGTTGCGGTGAGCCCAGATCATGCCATTGCACTCCAGCCTGGGTAACAACACCGAAACTCCGTCTCAAAAAAAAAAAAAAAAAAAAAAAAAAAAAAAGTCTGTAATATAGGATTTGGCAGAGTATGAGGAACCCCCCAAATCTTAACTTACTGGTGGCCATTACCCATCTGCATCAGGATAATCTCCAGATCATCTTATTTTATTTTTGTATCTGCTCTGATATTCACTTAGATTTTGTTTAGGGTGTTGGCTAATGGACACTAAGAAGGCAGAGATTACAGGGGAGTGGTCACTCAACACTTTATGGGTTCAAAGTTCTGTGCTAGGCCCCTAGGGACGAGGTAATGAACACAGGGCTTCCTTGTTCTTTAACTTAAGGGCTAGTGGAGATGGGAGTGTGGGGGAAGTTAGCTACAGAAAATGACAGTGCAGGCTGGACGTGGTGGTTCACACCTGTAATCCCAGGACTTAGGGATGCTGAGGTGGGTGGATTGCTTCAGGCCAGGAGTTTGAGACCAGCCTGGGCAACATGGTGAAAGCCTGTCTCTAAACTAAAACAAAAATTAGCCAGGCGTTTTGGCACACGACCTGAAGTCCCAGCTACTTTGTGAGCCTGAGGCACCAGAATTGCTTGAACTCGGGACGTGCAGGTTGCAGTGAGCTGTTAGTGAGCCAGTGCGTTCCAGCCTGAGTAACAGAGCAAGACGCTGTCTTTAAAAAAAAAAAAGAAAGAAAATGACAGTGCACACTGTCAGAGCGGAAGTGAGGTGTGTGCTTGCAAAATCTAGACAACTTTTCCAAGGCAGTTTGATAATAGGGATTGGGAGGGCTTACTGCAGGCTAGTATAGGCATGAATGACAATAATAATAGCTGAAGTTTGTTTCAGTCCACAGCATGTGCTTTGTTTTTACATACATTATAATTCATTCATTCCTCACAAAACCCCTGCTTGGCCTCCTTTTACAGGTGAGTCAACTAAAGTATAGAGAAATAAATTAACTGATGTTACCAACTGACTGATGGCAGAGATAGGTCTTGTGTACGGGCCCACCTGACTTGAGTTGGGTGACTTTTGTACCAAACTGCTACTATCATTATTACAATATGAATAATAATTGCTCCAGATGGCTGTAATGCAGCTTGAATACGCTGCCATTAGGCTGTTTTGGTAGATATTGTTGGCTGCCAGTAGTTAGTGGTTGGGTGAGGTTTAACCTCTCCCTCAGGCCGGGCGCGGTGGCTCAAGCCTGTAATCCCAGCACTTTGGGAGGCCGAGGCGGGTGGATCACAAGGTCAAGAGATCGAGACCATCCTGGTCAACATGGTGAAACCCCGTCTCTACTAAAAATACAAAAAATTAGCTGGGCATGGTGGCGCGTGCCTATAATCCCAGCTACTCAGGAGGCTGAGACAGGAGAATTGCCTGAACCCAGGAGGCGGAGGTTGCGGTGAGCCGAGATCGCGCCATTGCACTCCAGCCTGGGTAACAAGAGCAAAACTCCAGCTCAAAAAAAAAAAAAAAAAAAAAAAAAAAAAAACCTCTCCCTCATGCCTAATT